TCCAGAAGTGTGAGATCAACTCTGAAGATCATAGATGTAAGATCAGGGAGAGAGACAGTTATAGAGACACTTTTCTTACAACCATTCAGTTGTTATGCCTACTGTAACAAAAGTTTTGTATTTACAGTACAGGTTGAATATCTCATCTATAATGCTTAGTATCAGAACTGTTCCAGATGCCTGATTTTTTTTTTCAGATTTGGGAATATTTGCATATACATAGTAGATGAGGAATGAATGAGATGGGACCGAAGTCTAAATATGAAACCATTTACGTTTCAGATTCACCTGTGCACTACAGACTACTTTGGTATACCTATATGTTAACAGCAACCTATCATGAGTGAGATCAGTGTAGCATTTTCTGCTTGTCTTGTTGGCGCAAGATTTTGGAGCATCGTGAAAAATTTTCAGTTTTGGGATACTAAACCTGTACTGATTTTTATAAGGCTGATAAAGGAATAATCACAGCCATTATTCCACATCTAAAATGTAAATCATTGTTGGTGATTATTAATATTGGCTTGATCTTTCCTTCTGTTTTTTATGTGTGTATGGTTTTTTTGTTTGTTTGTTTGTTTGTCCTGGGACTTGAACTTGGGCCCTGAGTGCTGTCCCTAAGCTCTTTTGCTCAAGTCTAGCACTCTACCCCTTTGATCCACAGTACCACTTCCAGTTTTCTGGTGGTTAATTGTTAAGAGTCTCACGGACTTTCTTGCCCTGGCTGGCTTTGAACCAGCCTCTTAGACCTGAGCCTCCTGAGTAGCTAGGATTAAAGGTGTGAGCCACTAGTACCCAGCTTATACTTCTCTCTTTCTCCTCTCTCTCTCTCTCTCTCTCTCTTGTCAGTCATGGGCCTTAACTCTGGCCTGGGTTCTCAGCTCTACTACTTGAGCCACAGCACCACTTCCAGCTTTTTCTGCATATGTGCTGAGGAATCGAACCCAGGGCCTCAAGCATGCAAGGCAAGCACTCTTCCATTGAGCCACCTTCCCAGCCCTTCCTTCTCTTTTTCACACATTATTTTTAATGTGGTTGAAGTTACACTGGAGATTCAGTTTAATAGGCTTCATTGGAAACATTTTTATACTTCATTTAAAAATATTTCATTCTTAAAATTGTAAAATAAGGATAGAGAGATCAAAGGAAGTTTGTTCAAATCCTGATTAGTCAGTTACTAAACTTCCAAGCTTTGTCCAGGGCTCAGCTTTGCCCCAGTCACTTCACGTGGCAGTACCATAGGTACCGTTTCATTTTATCCTAATCATAAACTAGGTTTATAGGATCTCCCTGTTCAGTCCCGTGTAGAGGACTGGGATACAGAAGTTAAAAGTTTTAAAGGTTACACAGTGAGTAAACACCCAGAACTAAATGTAGCCTGTATCCCTTGTAGCCTGTATCCCTTAGTTTCTCAAACTCTGTGTGTGTGTGTGTGTGTGTGTGTGTGTGTGTGTGTGTGTGTGTGTGTGTGTGTGTGTGTGTGTGTGTGTGTGTGTGTGTGTGTGTGTGTGTGTGCGCGCACACACAGGTTTTACTACATAGCTCAGGCTATGTAGTCCTCCTGCCTTAGCCTCCCATGTCTTAGAATTACAGTTATGCCCCACTACGCCTGACTCTTCTGTTTTTTTCTCATATTGAATGTCTAAATCCAGAGGATGTATTCTTTTTTTTTTTTTTTGGGGGGGGGGGTCCAGTCATGGGGCCTGAACTCTGGGCCTGGGTACTGTCCCTCAGCTCTTCAGCTCAAGGCTAGCACTCTACCACTTGAGCCACAGTGCCACTTCCGGCTTTTTTCTTATGTGGTGCCGAGGAATCGAACCCAGGGCCTCATGCGTACAAGGCAAGTGCTCTACCACTGAGCCACCTTCCCAGCCCCAGAGGATGTATTCTATAGCACCAGTAAATTGGATTGGACTTTAATAGGCTGGTGAAATTCAAGTTAATGTTTTTTTAATTATTATTCAACTTTGGTTTAGTAGCACACTTCAAACTCAAGCAGCTGCAACTTCTTTTGGTTATCTTTGGTGGTTATTCAGTGAATACCTAAGCCAGTTTGAAGAATATATTTTTAAAGCCAAGTGCTGGTGGCTCATGCCTGTACTCCTATCTACTGAGATCTGAGGTTCAAACTCAGCCAGGTCAGAAAAGTCAGCAAGAATCTTATCTCCAGATAACTCCAAAAAATCTAGAGGTGGAGGTGTGGCTCAAGGAGTAGAGTGTCAACCTTAAGCAAAAAAGCCAAATGAGAGTATGAGACCCTGAGTCCAAGCCCCAGTATTTGCATACATTCATGTGTGCGCGCACACACACACAGACATACACAGACACATACACACACTATAGTCAAATGACAGATGACAATTCATGGATGGACATGACTGAGGGCCTATAAAGATTTTTTTTTAAGGAAAATACCTTTTGGCCAGAAGAAAAAATTCCTAGCCTCCCACTTTCTGCCATTTAAATTCTTCTAAGCAATGTTGATATAGTTCTATATTTATGTAATAATGTGATGTTGCCTAAAAACCAAAAGCCATTCACAGTGGATGAAGTGAATGAAGATAAATATGTTTGCCATCTGAAAAAAAAAGTAAGAAAAGCAGGTGAAGAAAGTTTGGTGGTGATAGTTAAAATTGGGGCTTAGGTTAAATATTTATTATTTACTTTAATGTGACAAAAAACAACTTAAAACACAGGCAAAGAAAGGTGAGTGGCAACAATTCATATAAATTAGATTATTAATTTAGCTGCCTTTAAGAGTAATTAGTTAATACTTCTGAAAGAACTCTAACAAATCTTAAAATGTAGGCATTTATGCAACGATGCAATAAAATTGCATCTATCTTGAGTTAATATCTTCTTTTTTTGGTATTATTGGGCTTTGAACTTCATGCTGGCTAGGCAGGTGCTTTATCACTTAATACATATCTCAGTCTCTTTATTCATTTAGTTAATTTTTATATGGAGTTCAAACTTGTTAACTAAGTCCAGTCTCAGACCAAAATCCTCCTAATATATACCTCTTTCTGTAGCTGGAGCAGTCAGGGACTTTTGTAATTATTCGATGATTTTATAAGATAATGTCTCACAAAGATGGTGCCATGGTCAGTGAAATACATAGTCACATCTGAACTGGATCAAGTCAGTTGGGCTTCTTCAGAGAAGGATAGGGATATTCATATTGGGAAGAAAACCTAAATTGGATGGGATTCTTGGTTTTTTTTTTTTTTTTTTTTGGTCGGTCATGGGGCTTGAACCTGTAGGCCTGGGCACTGTCCCTCAGCTCTTCAGCTCAAGGTGAGCACTCTACCATGTTGAGCTACATTGCCACTTCTGATTTTCTGGTGCTTAATTGGAGATAAGAGTCTCAAGGACTATCCTTGACTGGGCTGGTTTTGAACCATTATCCTCAGACAGCCTCCTGAATAGCTAGGATTGCAGGTGAAAGCCACCGGCGCTGGCTTGGATGGGATTCCTGTTTATTGATGAGTTGGGAATGATCTATCAAAGTGAGTGTATTAATCCGGGCACTCTAATCCTTTCAACTCAGAAGGCTGAGATGTGAGGATTGCAATTTGAAGCTAGCCCAGGCAGGAAAGTCTATAAGACTCTTATATCCAGTTAAACACCAAAAGGCCTGCAGATGAGCTGTGTCTCAAGCTCAAGCTCCAGCCTTGAGCTAAAAGTCTGAGTAATAGCACCCAGGCCCGTGAGTTTCAAGCCATAGTACTGGAACAGAAAAAAAAGAGTGTATTAGTCCATTTTATTTTACTGTAATGAACTAAGACTGGTAGATTATAGAGAAAAGATAATTTAGTCTGTAGCTTTGTGGACTGAAAATCCAAACAACATGGTGCTGGGACTGGCAAGGATCCTGCTGTATTATGTCATAGCAGATGGCACAGTGATGGGAGCAGAGAGGAGATGAAGAGCTTATGTGGTAAGACAGGGAGAGACAGCACAAGGAGCGGCTGGCTTTAGTCTGTCATAACAACTCCATTCTCTGGATCCATCTCAGTGTCCCACTGCTTTCTTTGAAGACCATCGTCTGTTTCACAGACACCAGGCATTGGTCTCTTCCTCTTAAAATATTCCACCATCTCTCAGCATCACTAAGGGCCAAGCTGCCAGCACATGAACAGTGTGAATATTATTGCTTTAAAAAAAAAACAAAAACCTGTGGTCAGATGCAGCAATAAATGCCTATAATCCTAGCTGCTTGGGAGGCTGATATTGGAAAGATCACAGTTTAAAGTCAGCCGAGCCAAAAAAACACACAAAAGTTTCCAAGACCCCTTTTCATCCACTGAGCTGGGCTCTGTGGCGTGTATATGTCTTCCTAGCATGTGAGCCTTGAATCAAGAGGATTGCAGTTCCAGGCCAGCCTGAGTTCAAAAGTTCTGTGAAATTCTGTTTCCGTGAAAGAAGCTAGGCACGGTGGCACACATCTGTTATCTCAAGTACAGTGCAAAACATAATAGAGTAGTAAGCACAGTCCAGACACAGACTTGAGCAAAAGGTAAGAGCCTGTCTTTTAGAACTAATGCAAAAGAGAATTGGGAATGTGGCTCAGTAGTATGGCATGTCTTGTCTATCAAGACCCTGAGTTCAAACTCTAGTACCTTAAAAAGAAAAATCTATGAAACATTAGTTCAGTACCTTACTTTCAAAAAGTCCCTAGATATTCAGGCTACAGGTAGAGTCAAAGAAAATGAAGCCTGTTTCTTCTGTGAGGTGTTCCTGGTTACCATTGTTGACTCAAATGTCTCTTGGAGTAAGTTCGACTTGAAAGCTCTTATCAAATTGTGCTAATCCTAAAACTATAGCATCTGTTCAGTATTTACAGAATGAAATAACTACAATGTCCGATGAACACGAAAGATTCTATTTCCTTTGGAAAATAAATCTTTTTTTTTAAGTTCACATTACATCTTTTTAGATCTCTGAGTATATTGTGATGAAGAGAACTTTTTTGATATAACTGTTGCTTTCTCCTCCAGTGCCCTGTCAGACTGTTCTAGATTATCTGAAGACAGTACTACAGCACCACAACCAGCTCTTGATGCCACAACCTGCAGACCAGCCAACCGAGGTAGGCCTCTGGGAAGAGAAAGAAAGTTCTGTATATAATTTCCTTAAGATGAAAAGCTCACTTCCTCTAGAAACCTCTCTGACCACACTTCCCGCTTCATGCTCATGTGGCATGTTGTTCAAAAGTCTTAATTTAGAACTAGCTGCTTAATGACTTACTAGCAAATGTATACCCATGTCTTCCATGGATATGAATCTGTGAAGACATTTGAGATTTATTCATCTTGGGTTTTTTGTTTGTTTTGGGGGTTTTTTTGTTGGCTTTTTTTTTTTTTTTTTCAAAAACAGCCCAAGAATAGGCCAAAGTTGGTGGCTATTTGAAGAGGGTATAGAATCAGAATTCCATAAAAATAGGAAAAATAATTTGTATTTTCCTAGGAAAAGACACTTAAACCTTTAATACCCATCATCATTATTACTGTACTTTTTTTTTGGCAAGGGTGGGGGGGCTGGTCTTGGCCTTGAACTTAGGGGCCTGGGCACTTTCCCTGAGGTCTTTTTCTTTCTCAAGGCTAGTGCTCTACCCTGTTGAGCCACAGCTCCACTTCAGTTTTTCTGGTAGTTAATTGGAGTCTCAGGGACTTTCTTGCTTGGGCTGGCTTTGAACTCTGATCCTCAGATCTCAGCCTCCTGAATAGCTAGATCCCAGGCATGAGCCATCCCAGCAAATATACTATTTTTAGTATCATTTTAGGCACATGAGCTTTTTCTCCTTTTTATTATTTATCACATTTTATTTCCATTAATTAATATGCTAAAACTAGGATTATAACTCTCATCCATAACCCACAGGGCATTCTGAGTTGTATTTGGGACTGTAAATTAGTTGTTCTATTTCTTTTCTGTTTTCTGGTGAAAATTGCCTCCAACTGGTGTTTCTATATTTTATGAGATGCATATTTTATGTGGAGCTTCTGTGTTTGAATAAATGCTGAGCTCTTCTGGGGGTAGATTTTGCTAAGAATTTGACATAACCCCTGTTTTGGATCATTAGCTCTTGGATTGTTAAAGTACCTCCCATCTTAAAATAGAATTCTCTTAGGGGAATAGCATTAGGGGTAAGGAGAACAGAGTTCCCCAGCTCTGTCCCTAAGGTGTGAGATCTTGGGAAAAGATACACCTTCTTTGGTAGAGAAATAATCTACTTTGCAAGTGAACTCACATACTGAAGGGGAGTTTTAAACTTATATAGTATGGAGCTAGGAGGTTGGCTCAGTGGTAGAGTGCTTGCCTCGCATGCATGAGGCCCTGGGTTCAATTCCTCAGTACCACATAAGCAGAGATAAAGCTAGAATGGTGCTGTGGCTCAAGTGGTAGTATGCTAGTCTTGAGCTGAAAAGCTCAGGGACAGAGCCCAGGCCCAGAGTTCAGTCTGCACATCCAATGAAAAAAAGAAAAAATATATATTGTGCTAATAATTGTAAAAGCACCTTGTACAGTCTCTTTTCCTAAGGCCAACAGTATATAAGGGACCATTAGTTAAAAGAGGGGCTTAATTAAGGATGGATGGGGTTCCTTCTTAATGGTCCCTGTCTCTATTGGTCTCAGAAGTTTCTTAAGTTTGCAAATTTATATTCATCAAAGGCTTGAATGTCCAGCTCCACAATGATGAAAAACCAAAAGTGCTTAGCTGTAACCTCCACTGCTGTGTTTGCTGGTACAGCCAGCATTGCACTGAGCTAGTCAGGTGAAAGTGCACTACTTTAAGGCGGGTGCTATTCTACACCCTCGGAGCAGAGTATTGCTTAAAACCAATTCTCAACAGCTCTTTGTTGGGAGATCTGTGGACACTTTACCACAATTAGCAAGCTGCCATCATTATCCCTATTTTGACAGGCTGGAGCTGAAGTTAAGAGAAAGGTAGTCACTGCCCCAGAGAGAACCCAGAGTCCAGCTTTGTAATTGCCTGAATGCTGTTTCCTGCAAAGAGAAAGGACCCTGTGTGCAAAGTGCTTGGGACGAGCACTTCAGACTGGTTATCAGCCACTTAATAAATGGGTGACATCTATTACTAAGGTTCTTTCACAGAAATGCTTTTGATGCAATTAGTGGTTACAAGCCAACCAACCTTCGATTCCACCTTTCCTACCTTCCCCAGACCACACCTGGCTGCCCTGAGGGCTGAGGGTAAACTGCTCAGAACCTAATAAGTTCTTCGCTTTTAGGGAAACAGTGCTGCTCCTCCTCTTTTTGCTCATGCCCTCAGCCTTATCTTTGTTCCAACCACTGCCACCTCACTTAGGATCATCTGTTGTCTGTCTCCCACACCCTAGTTCTCTGAACTGGCTGCCTACTCTCCTCATTTCTGCTTCTCCCATTTTCTTCTTCTTTTTTTTTGGGGGGGGGGGGCCAGTCATGGGGCCTGAACTCTAGGCCTGGGCGCTGTCCCTCAGCTCTTCAGCTCAAGGCTAGTGCTCTACCACTTAAGCCATAGCCACTTCTGGATTTTTTCTTTTTTGCTTATGTGGTGCTGAGGAATCGAACCCAGGGCCTCATGCATGCAAGGCAAGTGCTCTACCACTGAGCCACCTTCCCAGCCCCTCTCATATTCTTTCAACACTGCTCAGACCCACTCATGCCTCACCCTGATTCCTGCAGTCTGGACTGAAAGAGCCTATGAATCTTCTGCTCACTGCTCCCCATCCAGTTATCTCTGGAAACGGTCTCCTATTGCCCACAGAGCTAGGGATTCATTTGTAAACCCAAATACTCCATTCGCTTATTATATATATAGTGAGTGTGTGTGTGTGTGTGTGTGTGTGTGTGTGTGTGTGTGTGTGTGTGTGTGTTGTGTGGCTTGAACTCCTATTGCCCTCAGAGCTAGGGATTCATTTGTAAACCCAAATACTCCATTCGCTTATTATATATAGAGTGAGTGAGTGTGTGTGTGTGTGTGTGTGTGTGTGTGTGTGTGTGTGTGTGTGTGTCAGTTGTGTGGCTTGAACTGGGGGCCTGAGCACTATCCCTAAGCTCTTTTGCTCAAGGCTAGTGCTCTGCCACTTTCAGCCACAGCTCCACTTCTGTTTTCTGGTGGTACTTGGAGATAAGAGTCTTTGGGACTTTCCTCCAAGGGCTGGCTTTGAACAGCCCTCAGATCTCAGCCTCCTGAGTAGCTAGGATTACAGGCCTGAGCCACCAGCACCTGGCACCAAATACGCCCATTCGATGTAGGTCTTCTGTTTTATAAGGTGGAAAGTATGGTCCAACAAATTCAAGTAACTTGCTGAAGTGCATCTCAAAAAACATGAAACCAGTGTTGACTTTGAACCCCACCTTTCAAAGCACAAACTACAACCTTAACTGCCTACCTTACGAAAGGAAAATATAAGTCCTTATTGGTTTCAGGAAAATGTGTGCAATTCACTTGATGGTTCCTAACCAAGTCTGGCGCCACCTCTTTGCTATTGCTCCTATACTACTTACCCTTATTGATGCTTAAATAAGCAGAACGCTTTAAAAAATAAAACCCTGTCAGACCCAAACAGTGCCCAATTTATAACCTATAGTAAATTTACAGTTATAAAACTGTTGAATGAGTTTTCCTTTTTTTTTATTTTGTGCACCTTAATTACTGAGGAAGGAGTACATTAAAACTGAGATCACGGGTTAATTAATTTGTCCTGGATTGTAGAATTTTATGGACAGCCAGAACTAAAGTAATGGTCATGTAGGTGCAATTGACTCAACATGGCCTATAAATGTTACAGAAATTCTTGTAATTAGTCCCTCTGCAGCTATTTAGCCGGGGAATTTTATAGCAGATATAAATTATGAAGGTGAAAAGTAAAAAAAAAAAAAAAATGAGTTGACATGGTAGCATTTGCAGAAGCTATAATTTGAGAAAATGTTTTGCATTATTGTATTTTCTAAGTTTTCAGTTTTCTTCTTTCTAAAAATTCACTCTTTAATGTTGCATCTACTGTAATGCAATGACTATCAGATATTAGGCACATTCAACACAAGTAATATCTTATTAAAATAGACCACCAACAGCATCATTTCTAGAAGTACTTAACTGCCAGCCAAAGGATGAAGGGACCTGTTTGATCGCACTCTTCAAAGTCATTTTTGCATATTTTAATAGATTGAAAAGGAAAGTTACAGGTTATATTTAAATAGTGTTCTCTGTCATTGGATCTTGACACATTTTAACCTACCTGTTAAAATGCAAGTTATAAATAGCTCCTCTTTCAAAGGTGTTCATTATACCTCATTGGCTCTTGTTATAGAAAATGCAAATGTAATTTGAAAAGTGCCCGTTTTTGAGTGTGAGCAATTACTTGTGCTCTTCAGTACTTGGTTCATTGTCAGCACAGCCACTTGGTTAAAAAGCATGTTTGCCTTTGAAATGGAGATCACTTTGGCTTCTGGCTGGCTGGCTCAGTAGGTAATGAGAAAATATTTTGCTTTTCCAGGGAAGCAAGCAGCTGTTGAACAACTATCCTGTCTACATAACGAGCAAACAGTGGGATGAGGCTGTAAATTCTTCAAAGAAAGATGGGAGACGGCTCCTGCGATACCTCATCAGATTTGTTTTCACAACCGATGAGCTTAAGTACTCATGCGGCCTTGGGAAAAGGAAAAGGTCAGTGCAGTCAGGAGAGACAGGTCCTGAAAGACGCCCTCTGGATCCAGTTAAAGTCACATGCCTCCGAGGTACTGCATCCTTCCGCTCAGTGTCCACCATCCGTGATCCCATTTCACCGCATTGGCTGTGGCTCCCAGTACAAGTGTTTATTAGCCTTACTGTATTTTGATTTCTTGCCACTGAGATCTTATAGGCTTTTCATGTGCCCCATCTACTTGGTATTGAGAAGCTCAAAACAATCTTCGTTTGCTTTAGTCTTGTTGTTCTCACTTATGGTACATAAGCATTGCATAGCACGTCATTTTCACGCTTTGAATTCAGATTTTCTTTGCTACCAAAGAAGGTCACTTTCAGCACAGCTGGAACAGGGGGAATTTTTTTTTTCTTTTAGAAAAATGGTAAAAATGATCAGCTTCCATTCTAGCCTGGGCTCTCTATCTAGCTTTCTTCCTCAAGAATACTTGGTCCAACTCCTTAAATTTGTGTGGAATTTGGTTTTCCTTAGTGCCTGAAGTTACACTTTTCCTATTTTGATTAAAGAGTTCCTGTGTTAAAAGTATTTCTTAGCGCTGGGTAATGATAGTTCATGACTGTAATTTCTAGCTACTCAGGAGGCCAAGATCTGAGGATCCAGATTCAGAGCTAGCCTGGGCAGAAAAATCTATGAAATTGTTGATTCCCAGTTTACCACCAAAACAGCTGTGGCCCAAGTGTTAGAGCACTAACCTTGCAAAAAGCTAAGGGACAGCAGCACCCAGGCCCTGAGTTCAAGCCCCAGACAGAAAGATAGACAGACAGACCACACACACACTCACACTGAAATAGGCCTCTCAGAAAGCTCAGATGTTAACTTGTATAAGCAGTTTAATAGTAATTTTATCAACCTTAAAGACATTGTTGGTTTAATCAAAATTTTCCTAGTAGTTATAGGGGTTTTTATTTTTGTAAGTGTCCCTGGTAAGACTTTAGCTGTTGGGATGCAGCTTTAACCTTAGACAGAGCATTCTGAAGTCTTTGGAGCCTAAGAGTGCAGCTGAGATTGCCTAGTCCACCCCAGAGATTCTCTTTGAGCAGGGATGGGAAAGGATACATGCTTCTGGTTATGGTGCCCTCTGATTTTGAAAGAGCTGGCTGGTGCCTGAGGAAGCCACCTGAACTCAAAATATCATGAACATTGGTATCAGGGCTCCAGAGCATCTTCTTGGTTTTAGAAATTCCAGAGTGTATCTTAGCAGACTCTTCTCAGTTTCCCTCATTCCAGCATTATGAAAGATGGCAGAGTTACAAACCAGAGGCAGTATTGAGGTTAAGGGTTCTACCAGGTTCTACCTATGTATCACTCAAGGAGTCAAGTGGAAACAGGTGTCATAGCTGAATCCCTCTGCAGAAACTTTATTCATATTTTATATTTTAAAAGCAAGTTAGGGAAACAGAGATTAAAACACATCACAGAGGTCCAGTCCTGCTGGACCTCTGGATTGATGCACTGTCTCACTATGAGGTGCCATCTAGGCTGCCTAGCCAGTGCCTATAGTCTCCAACATACCTCTCCTATGGAGTCCTACCCAGCCCTTAGGTAAGAAACACACAGGCAAGAAATGGGGGCTGTTTGTTGGTGCTGGCTGAACTGTTGCCTCTTCTAGGCATGCAACTGCCTTCTGGTAAAATTAAATACTTAGATGACATGGCATTGAAAAAGTACTATGCCAGTTCCTATGCAGATGTTACAGCAGAGGAGGGAGTGTAGCCCATCATCATGCAGCATTCTAAGAGTAAGGAAAGCTTTTCTGAAATATGATAAAGTTACCTCATGCATTGAGACCCTATGATTTTATTGTACTCTATCTTCAAACTAACAGCTACTTAAAAATTGCTGACGAATGCTGGGTGCCGGTGGGTCACACCTGTAATCCTAGCTACTCAGGAGGCTGAGATCTGAGGATCGTGGTTCAAAGCCAGCCCAGGCAGGAAACTCCAAGAGACTCTTAACTGCAATAAACCACCAGAAAACCAAAAGTGGCACTGTGGCTCAAGTGGTAGAGCACTCACCTTGAGCTGAAGAGCTGAGGGGCAGTGTTCAGGCCCAGAATTCAAGCCCCATGACTGACAAAAAAACAAAAACAATTGCTGACGATATTTGTTGTGCTTCTAGGGATAACTTTCTTGAAATTCAAGCATGTAACAATGTAGGTTTGGGAATGTGCTAATACACTAGGCATGGTGCATACCATGTCTTCCTAATCAGAGTTGACCTTTCTTTTCAACAGCTACATGTTGAGAAAGTTGGGTGGAATAAACTGGGTGTGGCATGTGACATCATCATAGCATTGCGTTGGCTCTCCCATGCAACTTCTCTGATAGAGCATCCGTTTAAGTTAAGCAGCCTGTCCTGTCATTTAAATTCTGCCAAAACTAGCTGTATTCTCTCTCTCTCTCTCTCTCTCTCTCCCCTACTGTTGTGTGTATTCCCACAGAATTCATTAGGATGCACTGTACCTCCAACCCTGATTGGTGGATGCCTTCAGAGGAGCAGATAAACAAAGTGTTCAGCGATGCCGTGGGTCATGCCCGACAGGGACGGGCAGTGGGGACTTTCCTGCACAACGGTGGCTCATTTTATGAAGGGATCGATCATCAGGCTTCACAGGATGAAGTCTTCAATAAAAGTTCGCAGGATGGATCTGGGGATTAGTGGACAGAATCTCCCACTGCAGCAGCTGGTCTTTTGAGAGCTCCAATTGTGAATTTCTACTTACTGTGACCTGAGAATCCAAAGCATGTTTTCCTATAATACTTTACATGTTCTCAACCTTAAAACTTGACTTGTTGCCATCATTCCCAAATAGAAATCCATTTTGGGTTATTTGGGAAGTCTCCAGCACCCATTACAGACTTTAGGACAATTAGAAAAAGAAAAACCACAGTTGATGTAAAGTTGATTACTGGCTAGACAGTCAGCGTGGGGGAAGTAGGAGGACTCCTAGTCAACTGTCCTGAATCTTTAAGTAAGCCCTGCCTCTTGAGCAGAGCTGAGCCCCAAGGGAGAGAGGGTTAATGTTCCTACTCTAGGGAGAGCTCCTACCGATAGACTGATTTTAAGGAACAAGCATTCTCTTATTTAATTCAAGTAAGTTGTCTTTATGTTTTCCAAAGACTTGAATTAAGAATTCTCAGCAAAGACACGGAATGGGTGACACCTATGCTCCCATACATTATTACAATGTCCATTATTAACAAAAAATTCAGAAAACAGGTGGTTAGTTGTAGTTGACTACTTTTTTCTATTAGAGAAAAGTTCTTTTGGGTTGATTAGAAAGTCTTTTTGTGATCTCTGGAGTTTACAAACTAGCTTTTACATTATATCATTCAAGAAACACCCAAAGATCCAAAACCATTTTCAAATACTCAAATTCCTGAACACCTAGATCCGCCCTTTGCTCAGCCTTAATCCAGTTTTGTCCACACGCCAATGTGATTGGTTGAACAAAGAGAACTCCTCTCCGTTTGGGGGCACTGAAGACCAATTGCATGATATAACTGATGGCATTTATTGCATTGATCAGGATTTTTGGCATGTAGACACAGCTCTGAGGCATCCTGACTACATGCAATGGGCTTGTCAGTGGTTTTTCTGAAAGGTGAGGGCCTTTGTGTGCCTACTTGATGTTTAGAATTTGTATGAAACTTTGGTTTGCTGTTATTTTGCCAGATTTCATCAGTGAAACTTCTATGTGTGTTTGCTTCTTTTCCCCCAACTATTCCCCAAGACTCCCAAGCTCTGGCTAAGTTCACACTGTTCCTCTCCCACTCATGTCCCCTATTTAATTTATTCACTTCCATACAAGAAATTAGTAGTGTCTTTGCAACATTTCCTTACCAGAAACATTACAGAGGTGCTAGAATCATTATTTCTGAGCGTTCAGCTTTGGATGTGAGCAGGTATTTATTTCAGTTATTACCCAACTTGTCCAGATCACAGTTTTCTTTGTTGAGCAACAAGTTAAATGGGAAACATTGTAGTAATAGCCTTATTGGAAGCTATTAATTTCATCTACCAACACCAAAGTTTTGAAAATAGGACAGAAATTCAAGGTGTGATGATCATCCATTTATGAGCTATTTTGGGCCATTTTTTCCAAAATAAAATCATAAATGACCATTTGCAGTGAATAATAGTGGGTATCCAGTGTATGTAAATTCCTTCTTTGCAGCACATTCCTCTCTGCTTTTCTTCTGACTGGCTTCCAGCCGCTGATAAGCTTAATGTTTATAGAGATTTGACAGATTTGTCAAAAGGTGTAGGGAAAATTGATACTGAAATCTCAATGGGGGAAAATTAGCAGTAATATTTGGAAGTAAAAGAAACTATATGGGCAGATGTGCTGTTGTTTATGACAACAGTGAGAGTATGTCCAGAGTTAAAAAAGAAATTCTTTTTTTGGGGGGGGGGGGGCGGTGGGGTCCAGTTGAGGGGCCTGAACTCTGGGCCTGGGCGCTGTCCCTCAGCTCTTCAGCTCAAGGCTAGCACTCTACCACTTAAGCCACAGCTCCACTTCTGGCTTTTTTCTTTTTGCTTATGTGGTGCTGAGGAATCGAACCCAGGGCCTCAGTGCATGCAAGGCAAGCGCTCTACCACTGAGCCACCTTCCCAGCCCCCAAAAAGAACTTCTTGATGCTTGTGTAGAGGCCTTGGCAGTCTGTCTTAAGAGATTCTTTGATGTTGTGAAGTCCAGCAGAGGAAGACCACCATGGCTTCCTCTGTCTCTCGCCTGCCTTCTCTGTTCTGCACTGGCTTTAGGCATTCTTGCTTCATTGCCCTTCTTTTTTCCCATAGCAGCAGTCTTGGACCACAGTTAGAAAAACTTTAGTCTGTCTTGTTTTTCTCTAAGTTTAAGATTTGTGCATATTTCTTTCGTATCATCTTGGAGTCCTGTTTGGTTCTGGTCTTCCTTAGGGTGACAGAAGCTTTGTGTGCTCACTTTCTATGGCCTTCACAGTGACATGTCCTCATCACAGGTGTGAGTGAGGGCTGCAGTGTTCACTTGAGAAAGCACCTGTGATAGTTTATACACCAGCTTTGCTCCTAAAGCACACAGGCTGTCTTCTCTCCTTTATTCCAATGGAACTACTGACCAGCCATCCTCCACGTGAAGAAACCCAGACCTGCAGGGATAAGATGTTCAGCACCCACAGCCAGTTCTAATGTCTAAGAGCCTAGAACTTGGAATTCTCTCAGCTCCTAAGTCAACATATTCCATTCTAATGCTGACTAATGACTGTATTTCTTTAACCCCCACTGCTTGTCCCCAGGTACTAACATCCATTTGGCCTGTGCTATAGCATCAGCTTAGATATTCTGCTGGATCCTCTCCTTAGCCACCTGAGCATTTAAGACTGCTGTGCTACTTGGGTTTATCATGGTTTCCTTCATGATCACCTAATACTTAAATCAGGGCTTACAACTGATGTCCTTTTGCCTTTTGGTAAGGTGAGCTACATGTGTGAAAAGCTTACAAGTTCGTCACTTAACTTTGATGCCATTGTTGCTCTATCAGCCTTTTAATTGATCTCTAGACATCTGAAGGCACTGCTTATCTTATTGAGTGGATTTTCCACATCTCTGTCTTGCCTGGTGATTTGCCCTAACAAGAAGCTTAGTCTTAGGTCAACTTTTTCCATTCTTGGTGGGAAACAAGTTGAAGTAAAACAGCTCAGGATGTATCTGTGCTCTGCCTCTGGTGAGAAAAGGAGGGTGCCAGGTGTTCTGACTACCACTGAGAGTAAATGCTGCTGTTGGCTGTGACTAGATAGGTCCAGAGTCCCAACTATCAGTGGGACTCTGCTAAAAGCACCAGCAGTGTCCTGTATTTTCCAAACAAAAAGGTCAGAGGCCATACCTGCTCTCCGCAGTGCATGGAAACCCCCAGCACAGTTCCCACAAGGTCAAGATAATCCTGGAATGACCTGTATTGGACATTGGCCAGGAACCCATGGAGGGCCATAGTCTTCTGCAAGCAGTTAATAAAGCTACATCTTTTACTGTCTTTTGACAGTGCCTTGGTTAAAATCGGCAATAAATGCTTTCAAGAAACATTGTAAACACTTCAATATGGATCATCTTCTGCCTTAAAGTGTTTCTTCCATCCTCTCCTGGCATTCCTTGTGCCAACTAGAGTGGTTAGGTGACTCATGTTTGTGATTTACAGCCTTCACCAGGAAGGTGAGGGATAACGAGAGTGCATCTCCACTGACAGGAATACTGAGAGATAGGTGTAGCCACTTCATTAGCTGTAGAGTAGGTGGGTGGCTGTGTTGGGGATAAGGGAATACATGGCTTCACTGTACTTCAGGTGGCATCAGCTTTTACGCCCCATAACTTTTCTCATACTATAATGTTTACACAAAATCTGGACAATAACCCAAACTTGACCAAGTCTACAGGTTCTTGATTTCTACCTGTCTCTGGTACTTCAGTGACTTGTTTCTCCTTTCTGCTGCTCTCAGAAAATGTATGGATCATTACATTACAAGGAAACACAGTGCATTCAGAAGAGCAAGCATGCAGTGCCCTCACTAGTGATGGTTTTTGTTTTTTTTGGAGTGTTTTATCTCTGTGTGTTCGTTTTGCAGTGCTGTGGATTTAACCCAGGGACTCTCTCGGCCCCCATTTGCATTCCATATTCTATATTGCCCTGGACCTAAACTGGATACCTTCTTGACTACCTCTTTAATTTCCACTTAGATTTTAATTACCTTTAAAAGGGTCATTCCTAGAAGAGATTTAGATGTAAGTTTTCTCATTCAGTGCAATGTCATTTCACAGCACAGATCTGTGTTAATTTTTGACAGCTTTCTTATACAAATTTGTAGAAATGTAATAGAAAATGATTTTGCGCATATGGTGCAAGTCTTGCTGGTGTATGTTAAATGTGGCGACATTTGCCAGAACTGCTTGGCAAAACATGTCAAATAGAACGCTTGAGTCAGAACTCTAATGTAAATGTGTCTAAACAGCAGTATGTATCATTATGATGTATTTTTGTAAACACAGTGATGGCTTCTTTCCGTCGGGCAAGTATTGGATAAAAATAACCACTTCACTTGGAATAACAGGAGAATGTCACTCAGATGATGGCAGAGCTACTTGTATTATCAGCCAGTAGCACTGGTTCTTTATTTGTGTTTTCTAGAGGAGAGGGGAGAATTGACATCTGACAACATGAAGGGCAGTGAGAACCCATCAGCACTTCCTACATATAAACTTTAAAACTCTGCCTAATTCATCGATACATTACAGACCACATTACAGAACAGGAATTTTTTTCTGCTTGCAACCAGCTTGGTGAATTTTTGAAAGCACTAAATTAACAAGTCTTTGCATTCATAAGCCTCCATTGCTGCCGAATAGAAAGGCAGAAATAATTTCCCGGATTGCAACAAAGATATGTCTGCTAGTAAGACCCATTCAGAACCTGTTCATTGCACCAGTACACATGGCCAAATGTGCCAGGGCATGGTAGAGAACAATGGTCCCTTCAAAACCACTCAGTCCAACAGCAATAGTTAACTAAAGCCAACTGCTACATGTAACTAGTGAGTTCCTCTGCACAAGTGGCTTTGGTAAGCACCCTCCGATGAATTGTCTAGTTTTAACCCTCGCAGTAGCCCTGAAAGACTGTTACTGTTATCTTCATATTATGGGTAAAGACAGCCAGAGTATTTACTCAAACTAAGGAAGTCTCTTTGGCCTTATGAAGCAGTTTAGTTTTCTCCATAGTGAAGCATAGTTCTTGAAACCTGCCAACACTTTGAACAGTTTTGTTTGATTCATGCCATCAAGGGAAAGTTGATGTTTATATGCTCCTGAAAACTACTTCCAAAGCATCTTATTCATACTTAGAAAACATATACCCTATGAAAACAGCTCAGGTTTCTGTATAAGGCTTGACCTATAAGTAACATCT